ATAGAGGATCTCATTTGAGGGAACCAAGCTTGCCCATAAGTGAATCGTCCACCTAGACCACAAGTCGACCGATAGAGAAATCTAATTTATTAAGCGGAAAATGACAATCTAAGTTAAAAACAAAGTAATATAGCAGAACAATCACCAACTTTACAGCAGCTACAATAACTAAGCTGATATTAGCAAGTAAAACAGCAAAAAACACGGATGCCGAGGTTACCTATTCCTTAAATAGCAAGGGTAAACAAAAAGATGGCTTATGTAAGAATTAATATTTGACAACTTGGGAGTATAGAAGAAGGACTGATGCGCCAAGTAAATAAAGTTAAAAAGTGTTTAAGCATAAATCATATTCACAAAGGCAATACTGTATCTGTGCCAATGAGACCTGATAGTTTGACCATTTTCACACCCATTATTTGTTAAAACCTCTATTGAAAATCCCATTACCAGAAGGGATATCGGGGAAATCTGCCCAACATCTCATGCATCCATAATTAATGACCTTAAGATGAGATAAAGCTAAGCTCATCCTAAGAGCTGTATTTAACCTAGGTCGCATAAAGTAATTAATACTTGTTAGTTGAATATTACCACAGTGACATGAGTAGAACTCACGATGCCATTCGATTTCACCTAGACTTGCCTCCCAAAAGGAGTTATCATCCAAAGCAGACTGCGGTTTCGAGTTCGCCTAAACTGAGCTTTTTAGCATTCGCAAGAGAATCCGAACACAGGTTGTTTTAGTGCCAAGTACAATTTCTACATCCCACGACTGCCACACTGCCATGGTTATCAGTGAGTCAAAGGGCGGATGTGAATTTAAAGGCTAGGCGGGCCTTTTCCACATCACATGTTTAAGTGTGATTGCCGAAGAAACAAACTTATCTCACGACAGAGCAAGTTTCGAAATTATGAATGTATCTTGAATAAGAGCTGCATTCAACATAGGTCGCACGAGATAGTTTCTAAGCCATCTGAATCTAAACGAACGTGTTATAAGCTTGGGTAAAAATGTAAGTTGATAATTGTTCAAATATTTTGGAGTTTTAAGATCCATTTCCGGCTAACCTGCTAAGGCAGGCTCCTTAATGGCCCTGCCCACACAATCGTCTATTAACAATGCTGTCCGACTGTCAACCGGGGTTGGGGAGCCTTCAACTATCAGGCTCTTGCGTCGTTCAGAACTGGACGGTGCAGGATCTGCCGGCTCTGAAGACCCCAGGCAAAGATGATAGTCAAGTAAAACAGGTTCATCTACTTCAAGTTCGGATGTCTTGGAATACTGTGGAGAATCGGGCTGGGCATATGGGTGGAAGGGTGCCGAAGTCACGGATTCGTCCAAATATGTGATTGCGGTGGACGAGATAGTGGCCAAATGGTCAAGGGAAGTGTGAGAGCCCGTCATGAGGCAAGTAAATTGTTCAAGACTTGCGCAAGTGGGAGATAGGGCAGTGGAAGTGATACTCTGAGGCTTTGGTGCGCTAGACTTGAGGGGACGAATCGAGGCGTCAGGAAGTGGAGAGCGCCAGAGTGCCGTGGAACTGTCGGCTGAGGAGAACTGGTCACCAGGAGTCGTAGGAGTTAAGTTCCCAGCGTCTACATCCTCGGTGAAAGCCAGATTTACTGAAGTCAAACTGTCAAGATCGGTATGGCAAGTTGACGTATCCTAAAGGCAAAGGTGGATGACAAGGATTACATTCGGAATGGGGCGATTGGTAAGAAAATTCAGGAGAGAACAAAACATAGCATAAAATATATAAATGTATAATATAAATAATGAATGCATACATGTCTATTATTTACAGAATGAGAGTGTTTTATTGAATATCCCAAATCTTAAAATAGAGATAGTACTATTCTTAAAGAGGTATATTACAGTTATTATATGAAGCCATGAGATTGTGCTTATTTATGAATTAAGCTGACAGGAAAGCCGGACAAGCGTTTAAACAAAGCATGGGCATCAATCAACATTCATTTCCTTTTTAGTCCAGCACGACTCTGACTCCCCATGGCTTGGCATTATACGGCTAGATTTGGTAATCTGATCGGACTCTGAGGAGACTGCAGGAAGGACAATCACTAAATGCACAACTGGGCATTTTTAGGATGAAAGAATAATGCGGTATTATTAGTGTTAGCTTATCCAATCCATTTTGTGGCTTTCCTTCTTAGAAGTATTGGTTTGAGCGCTTTTTCACAGCTTGATCCCAGCAGCACGGCAACTTTATAGAGCTTACTCAGTTCAGCGTCCTTTGCCAGAATATTTATGATAATTGCTAACATCAGACCGACGACTTGTTACATTCCGTCCAGGTAAACTACAGTTCATGTGCGGATGTTGCATTTGAGTCCGAATGGCAGTGTTATATTGTACTCATTTCAATTAGGATTTTCGGACAAACAGTAGAGCTTGAATAAGAGTTTTAGTCACTTTAAATCGCCTCAGGTGATAGGGATGCGATAGTGAATTTTCCCAGTGTTGAGGTTGTTTGACCTTGTTTTCGCAACATGGTCATATTGGTAGGAAGACTTAGAGGAACTCACCTAGTCCGGAGTCCATTGTCTGCATGATCATCTCCAAAGTTGAACCGTGGAGGTGGTACATTCCCAAACGTTTCACTGGCATCGTCAGTGAGTCTCGCCATTCTTAGCACCACACAACAACGCGTCAAAGAGACAAGTGAAGCCGATCGTGTGCTAAACAATTGTGGTTTGGTCAAAGGATCGGCTTCACTTGTCTCTTTGACGAATTGTTGTATGGTGCTAAGAATGGCGATACTTACTGACGATGCCGGCGAAACGTTTGGGAATATACCACGTCTACGGTTCAACTTGGAAACGATCATGCATACAATGCACTCCGGACTAGGTGTGTTCCTCTAAGTCTTCCTACCGATATGACCAAGTTGCGAAAACAAGTTCAAAAAACTTCTATACAACGAAAGGAGACTGCGACCACGCAAAAGGCCACACCATCTTGGTCTTCATACTTTCCCAGTGTTCTTAAGTAATTTAGGGTGACCAAAGCTTCCATTCAGGCTGGAATAATAGTCTTGAAATCCTTTCAAAAATGAACCCAACATAACAATGTTAATCGGACTCAAATGCATCATTGGCACTTAAATTTCAGTTGGTCTGGCCGAGTCTTCTGCTATAGCTCGCCCTGGATGACAAATTTTTATGACCGGATTAACAAATGAATTGTCTCGGCCTCTCTCTCCTTGTTATTGACTGTAGTGGCCAATTCAGGTTTGCTTCAACGACAACTTCTGCACCCCTCGAAGCCGTAAAATGACCACTACTCCAAAATGATTAAGGTTTACAATCAGAATTTATAGAAAGGATAAAAAATGGGCATCAAATAGGCACTAATTAATCCGATTTCATCCTCGGATATCCAATAACGTGTGATCACAAGTTTGTTTGAACTGGTTGATTAAGCAGTTAAGATCATTCTACTTGCCAGGAGAGTCTTGATTACCATAATCACTAGAAAAGACAAATAAATCTCACTTACTCTACAGGAAGTTGAAATGCCTTAGGTCAATTAGGGTATATAAGTACCGATAACGGAGTGTGTCCCACAATAAACTGAGTAGGTCTAACGGCGCCCGTGAATTTCGCACGGAGTTGCCTCCCAAAGGGACTTCAGTCTCGATTTCACCTCGGTTTCATCAGCATCCACAACAAAACTAGAAACCGGATCATGTACGTGAAAAGATAAAACATTGCCACTCCGTCACACAACCACAAGTGCCAGTGTGTTGCAGGGCAGATGTGACTACCAATGTAGATCAGGCCTCTCCTAATTAACATTTATAGTGGAAAACTAAGTTTCTAATTACAATCGACGGTGTAACTTGTTTTCCAGACTTTTAGTTATTATTAAGCAGGAAAAAGTGTAACCTTGTAACTCAGTTAATCAGCATCACTTTTTAAATCTCCTTAAGCAACCTAAC